GTTTCTGACTGAAGCGGATATCAAAAAGATACAAGAGTCACTACAATTACCATTACTGGCTCTAAAGCAATCCTCAACAGAAAAAAAAAAGTTTGTGCATGGCATTATTCCCGATCCGCTGACAACGCACGACACTTCTTAGCTAGTTGTCTCACCACTCGTGCCAAGTTTTACGTTGTTGTTGCTTGGTTATCTTAGTTAGCCATTTCCCCGATTGGCTGACCGCTCAGTGATAGCGTCTCTCACCCCTTTTTGTTCCATAGAGGGACGACCCTAAGTAACATATTGAATGATATTGATTGAAAGCTACGAATTTGATCGATGACTTTTCAAAACGATCGTTTGCTCCTAAGATTTGAACCTGGTCTTTGTCATTTCAGGCCAAATGAAATAAAATGGCAATTGATGATGGCATCCTCACATCGGCGAGCTGGTAATTATCAAAAAGCACTGGAACTTTACAAAAATATCCACAAAAAGTTCCCAGCAAATATAGACTGTAAGCACCCAAGGGACCTTTTTTTCTGGAGTTTGCTTTTAAGTCCAAAACTTCCCGTGAACTTTTTTCAGGCCTGAAATTTCTGGTTCGTATCACTACCGATCTCGGTATGCCAGAAGCTAAGGAGTACGTAGATAAGCTGAGTAAAGCCGAACGTGTACGTCAACTAAAAATGCAACGGGAATCAGACAGCAGTCAGGGTAAACGCCACAGTGCTCAGTCGTCGTCTCATAGTTTACCTCAAGGAGGATCAGGTAAGTACTGTTTATACTGCAAAGTGGGCTCTCATTCGAACCAGTCCAACAGTATCGCTCAAGTACTTGACCTGTTTGAGACCGGCACCTTTAGAATTTTGATGGGGAGTTTCTGGTGGCAAACACCTGCCTGTCAACTCGAAATTACCCATCTTCACTTTCCTGTTTACTGTTTCCAAGCAGCTCTTACTGGGACAGTTCTCCACTACCAGACGTTATCGAGGGCTTTTTTAGATGAGAGAAGAATTTGCCCAAACACTCACTACTGTTAGTATTGGCAACACCTCAGGCACTGGGATCAGGGAAACGTGGGGAAGGCATATGTTGGAGGTTATGAGAAGAGTCTTATACTGCCATCTTGGGAACCTTGAGAAAAGTAGTCTTCGGATAAAAGTTTCAAAAATTAAGAGCAAATAAAAAATACCAAATATAATTCGGTTAGAATATTACTTCCCGCACAGACAGTTCCAATGGGTTTTATCAAGGATCAGAAATGACCCAATCTTGTTTGGAAAATCGAGGGCTATGTAAACGTGAAGAGCTGCTTCTACTTGTACCTACCTACTAAATGAAGTTATATAGTAACATCCCCAGATAGCTTTGTTGTTAAGGTGAACGGCCCACATCATTGAACAGTCTACGAATGTCAAGTGCTAAGTTCACCTTCGAGGATCAGCCGTTCACCGTTGCTCCGAGAGACATGAGTGAGTGGTCTTTCTTACTTTTTGGGTTGTGCTCACAAGGTGCAATCTCAGGGAAGCTTTTCAGAGTCAGCTGACCTCTCCTACACTGACCCAGTGGGATCTGGACCAGCTCGACCGAAAACTGGACAACGGCGAATGAAAACCGACGATTCATTCGAGGAGCTTGACGATTCCCTACTCCCTCAGTGATCTGCAGGAACCTTTTGAATAAAGAAAGGAAAAGAAAAAAAA